TCAAACTTTTCTTCATTTAAATAGGGAATACCGGCCATTTTACACAGATTTCGACAATTTGTGTGACAGATTTATGATTTTAATGAGAGAAAAGGTATTATTAAACGTACTGGCTAGCCGACCGCCGGCGGTAGTTGAACTTAGTAAGACCAAAACCGTCTTTCGGCGGCATGATCTCACATATAAGAAAGTCGCCGATAATATAAACTTATTTGTTGATGAGGGCGGCAGGCTATCAGAGTATAGATATGGCCGCCGGACGACAGTCTAATGTGTTTGAAACATTGAATGCCACCGGAAAAATGACTATTATCATCTCAAACTTAGTGCACTGCACATAAGCTCGGACAAGGTCACCCCATATTTGCATTGTTACTCATTTGGAGTCAATTGTGTTTTTTTCATATAAATATGGAAAGACTACAATTCAAATCCACTCAGGCACAATTGAGCACAAAATGACCACAATTGAATAAGCCAAAAATATTGCGAAGAAGTCAAAAAAATGTGGGACTGGCGGTCAAGCTGGCCCCCAGATTTGCTTCAAATTTTTGATATATGGAAAAAAGCACAATTCTCAATAACACCGGCGCAATTGAACTCAATACGAGCACCGTTAACTACAACAATTATTGGGAAACACTACAAAAATGTGGTGGGTTAGCTTGACCGAACATTAGGTACCTATTCTATATTTTGTAGGCCCTTTATGATCATTTGCTACAACAAAGACGTCTTTCTCCTGACATACAATCAGAAATTATTCATCTTACAAAGTTGAAGACAAAAAGAAGAGAGAAAGGGCTACATAAAGGAGAAATTCAATAAAATCATATTTCTGAAAGATATTCACAATATAGCCACCAAGGTAAAAAATGTAGACGATTTTACAAGTATTTTTTCAGTTTAGATTTGTGGCGGCTTTCCTATATGAAGAAGACCATGCCGCCGGAAGACGGTTTTCTTTTCAACAAATACAAACACCGCCAGCGGTCGGTTAGCCAGTGTGATTATTAAAACACAACTTTGATAGCTTGAATTATTTAACATCAAAGTTAGAGCCTCCTTAGGTGGAAACAATGGGTTACTTATAAAAACCCTATTAACTGACAAACAAATCATGGTTTCCTTAGAAAAAAATTAAACCTAACTTTACGAAGTGTGATATTTCGATAATGCTCAAATTATTTAGGCACTTATGAGACATCACAAGACTGGAAAATTTTCGGTCTTTCCAAAAATCGAAAATCCAATATGACGGCCATAAGAAAAATGAAAGTTGAGGCGAATTGCGGGATAAGAAAAGACGATTGAGACATGTCATATACGCTATCTTATTCGTCTTATAGACATGTCTGCATAATGTCACATTTTGAGAGCTGTCAAATTATTCGTTTCGGATTTGCAGGCGAAAAACAAAATCGGCCATTTTCGGATTTTCGCCGATATTTTTATAACTAACAGATTGATCGTAAATCTGAAGTCGGTTATCAAATGCATCAAGTTTGCCCTAAAACTTTTCTTATTTAACCTTTACTGTAGGTACAATAGGAGTCGAGATACCTGTATAGAGAAACGAATCCGGGACATAATGTTTAAAAAAAATAATAAGCAAATCATAGTTGATTCTGTCAAACGCACTGGTGTAGTCAAGTAAAACATGTAGGCTGCATTTACCAAGAGCTGTAGCTCTAATTATGTCATCTACAGTAAGAAGAGGAGCAGTTGAGCAGCTATATTTTTCCTGAAAGCCGGATTGTATAGGAGAAACTAGGGTTCTTTTAATTGATATTCCATTGCCCGTTGAATATTTTTTTATAGTGTTGGTAGTAAACTAAATGGAAATTTTTTTAAATCTACTGGATTTGATTATTTTGACAAAAATTTAAGTCTTCGACCATAAGATCTGTCCAATTTATCCAGTTGAGAAACAAAAGCCTACATTTTATCATTCATCATTGTATAACTTTTACTTTTTGAAAACTGGGTACAATGATTTGGTTGGCATTAATTTGAAGTATTCGTTCATACTTTTTGCGTGGGCTTAACTATCTGCATGCGTAATTGTCTATTTTATTTGCGATTCTAAATATATGTTACTTGAAAAATTAACTGGTCCGTTTCTACGAATGTTTTATTATAAATAATGTGACTAATTCCTTTATTTCTCACTGTAATGAAAAATAAACTTTCTTATTATAAATTATTTAAATTTTCGAGGGTGTTGAAAATTAAAATTGTTCGTATGATTCATAGGTAAAATAACACTTTTTTAAATAGGAATTGTAAATTCGATAATTGTGAGTATAAAATGTTTCGTTTTAAGTAACTATCAGTTCAAAATTAAAAGAGACATTAGTCTAATGTGTATTTACCGTTAAATGAAATGTAAGTAATTTTTTATCAATATTACAGAAGACTTTTGAGGTTATTTATTTAATCAATAGTTTTTCACTTCTTCCCCTAACATGCTATTGCTTTTCAAGTTTTCTTCTTTCGACTAAAAATGTCCAACCAATGAGTAAAAATAACAGATGGTAATCAGAGCGTGAAACTAAAATCTAGGGAGCTAGAGCTACACTCCAGTTTATAGGGATTTTAAAATAATTTCACAGTCGGCTAATTATTTAAAGCTACGTTTTTCTAGCTGCGTATCACGCACTGGGTACGATGCAGGCGTAACATGGCCAACACTGCTCTTGTATGGTTTAAATCGGATCGTCTTCCTACTGCGCATGTTTTGCAGCATTAAACAGAGTGTGTTTGCGTGAAACGTCAACTGTGCGTATACCGTATGCATTTTGCGCTCGCGTTTAACGCAGGTAGGAAAACGTAACTTAGGAATTTAAGTAGTATGTTTTCATCAGGGTCACGTTTAGGCACGAGTGTGAGTGAAACTTTCGCGTTGTGACTAGTTGGTTGTTAGTATCTTCGCTGCCGAAGCCTATAATTAAAACTTTGTTGGGGACGTTACGGGGTCTATATGTCCCGTTGTTGATCTTCGGTTTGGGTGGAACGGGACAAATGCGCCCCGTATAGTTCATGCGTTGGACCTTGGTCCAGTGAAATATCACTTTAAAATATAAATATATTTTGACATAAACTTTATTATGAAGGATCAATAAATGTACTGCGTGAGCAGGACGGTGATCCAATGTCCAGTATCGCAGACATTTAAAGTTTTGGAATATTTAGGAAAATATAAACCTGTGAACTATGAAATTATTTATTAAAAAAAAGCTACAAATTAAGGTGCCTGTCCAGCTTGAGCTGCATGGGCCGCGTTAAAGCATGGTAAGCAATAACCAGGACATCCATCACATTCCATACAAAAAGTGTAAACTTTTTTAACTTTATTATCTGCAGCTCGGCTACCCAGTGATTATCTTAAGTGTTTATAAAAACCCTTGCATTTCCTTCTTTTTCTTCCGTCAGGACCTCTCTCTGTTAATGTATGTAAACGCTTAGGAGTTCTTGGACGTGGTATTTCAAGCACACAGGATTCATCAAAAAACGCTTAACAGACGCTATCTTTAAAGTATTGACATATACTTGTTTGAAAATTTATCATTGTAAAGTATCCAGTTCGTCATAGTCGCTTCAAAAATAATTTCCAATTCTGCTTTTCGATACCATTTCATTCCTTTGCGTTAGAGATTTTGGTAAGATGACATTTGATCAGTGCAACAATAATAAATTATTCAAATTTAATATTAAATAATAAAATATTTGTTACCTGTAATCTACTTATTTTTCGCATTATTATAGTCTACAACACATTTGGGTTTTTGTACTGGTTATCCATTTCTAATTTTTTTCGTATCAATTAAGGTATCATTATGGTCTTCATGAGTTGATAACATGCAAACCGGTTTTTATCTGTCCATTTAATAATTTTAATTGGGCCTTTTTGTCTACCATAAATACATCCCTTTTTACTGTTTTGCTAAAAAATGTTTTTGAAAATCTTTGTCTTTTTTTTTTCATGGGTTTTATTTTGGTGATGGCATTTAGCCAGTGGAATTCCTGTGTAAAAATTATCGACAAAATTTGCTATTAGTTCTTTTACAACTGCTTTTGTATGGCCTTTCACTGATGCAACATCGCCTTTTCCTGAATAAATTTTTAAGATTGATATACTTTGACGCCATATTTATGGCTTTAATTTTTAATATACTGGCGAAACTATAGGCGTCCCCTCCATTGAATCATGGTTTCATCAATAACTAAACACTGTCCAGTAGTGATGAATTTTTGAAATAGTGGAATAATTTTGTCTAGCACTGGTCGAATCTTAAAAAAATTATCATCCCCAGTATTTAAGTCATTATTAGCAAAATGCCAGCAACGAAGTATAAGAAGAAATCTATTTATAGCTAAACAGTTTGAAATAAATTCGTTATGGTCTTTTAACCAATATAGGTTTATTTTAGGTAAATTAACGATTCCCACTGCCAACACTACCAAAAAAATTTATGAATATCCTCCCTGTTCACTTCTTGCCATAAGTTAATTCGAGCCTTTTAATTATTACTATTTAACTTTAAACTAACTACATATCTATTGGTTTCCTCTACCATAAAGTCAATTATCTCTTCGTTTAAGAAAAGTTTAAAAAATTGAATCGGTATGGTACACTGTATTGAAGAGTTAAATATATCTTCTTTGTCACAATAGGCTCTTTCGTTTGCTGTTGGTGCAGTGTCTACCAGTGTAAATTACTCCAGTTACACCACTCTATTTGCCCTAATTTACTTTCTCCTCATTCCATATACACATGTCGAGTATAATTAATTCACTACTGCTAAATAGTCAGTGGACACCACATCGCCGGCAGGAAGGTAAAGTGGGTTTTACACCGGGCCAAACGAAAGGTTTAGTGTCCGTGCAGTTCATTCCCACACCAGTGAGACGAACGAAAGAACCTATTCTGTTGAAAATAATGAAGGATCTAATTCTGTTACCTTTTTTACATCTCCCCAGCCATCCTCGTCATTTACTATCTGATTTTGTTTGTTTTGTGAGTCATTTTCCGACTTTTCCTCTTCTTTGCAAACCTCCTCCTCCTTTTCCTCAGCTCTACTTTCCCCCGAACTTGGTAAATAATCATCATTCTTTATAAAGTCATCTGAATTGTCATCAAATTCTTCTTCTGAACTTTCCAGAGCTTGAGCCTTTGCCAACGCTACTAATCGTTCGCCTCTCCAAGCCATTAATTTCATCATTTCTCTTTACAAATACACAAACGTAACTGACCGGCAGTGCTGCAAGTAGTTCCGAGTAGTCCAGAAACCGCTTCAATGAAATGGACTAGAGTAGAAATTATCATTCGACACTTGCGTACAAAGCCTGCGGTACGATCGTTTGTTTCAATATTTCATACTTTTGAAAAACATACGGGACACATTGTCCCCGACCGCTCTAAGAAAGGAATTTGTCGTATGGGGCAGTACGGGGTCAATGTGTTCCGTATGTTTTTTTTTTCTGTAAATATTGATTTACAAAAAAATATAGGCACATTGGTATAAATAAAAATTTTATATCTCAAATAATACGAAAACTAGAGGCTTCGCCCCATGGGAAGGTGTAGCGAATATAATGCCGCACCGTGGGTAAACACAATACGGGACATATATGCCCCGTACCGCAGCGAAGGTGTTAGTTGAGCGACGCCTGCCTGCGACCATTCCTGAAACAAATTAGGTTTTCTCTGGGTGTGTGTATACTTCAAATGTCAAAAACCGATAAACATAACTAAATATTTTAGTTTAAATTAATTTTAACTTGTTTTATTAGACTTTTTTATAGTTATAAAAAATATATTACAAGAAATAAACATTAATTTTAAATATAAAATGATAATTAACAACTAAAATATTACAATCGCACCTCCTCGTGCCGTAAAAGTATAGTGTGAACAAAATTGTGTTTGCACATTGGGAAAGACATTCCTATGTCTGGACGGCTAGAACGTCACATTGGTGTTACACTTATATCCGGTGTGTTAATTCTTAACGCAATGCGCCCCAGGTGATTATAATATAGTTAGCTACATTTTCCGTGTCAACTAGTATTAATTTATTGAGCCTCTGTGATATAATTTGTATGTTGTTAAACTCATTTGCAGAGATAAGAGACTCTAAAGATAGGAAACGCTCATAAGAAGCACATGCTTAACAACGACCGCCTAGAACGTAGTTAACATCTGACCCACTATGTAGCGCTTTCATCGATATCAAACAAATAAATATTGTTTGCATTTTCATGTTCTGGTAAATAAATTTAAACAATGTTAATTACAGTAAATTATTTATTAAAAAGAATCATACACTTATAAATCTATTTAAATATTTCTTAATTTTTTATCGTTATTTGTATCTTTAACATTTTTGTTCTTATTTTCCAAACGAATGGCCAACGGTGTCTTATTTATACCTATTGGGAATTCAGATATTTTTCTTCCTACATCATCAAATCTTCTCTACAACGTTAAGAAGAAAGTTTCTTGCTCTAAAACGACAAATATAATAAAAACATACTTACTATGTAACAAAAGTTGGCTACTGCTTGTTACTTACATGCTAAGATTTTACTTTGGTAAAGAATACCACATTGGGGTTGTTAAATTTATTCATGTGGCATGTGTACTAATGCAATACGTGCTCCGACTCATTGTAATATTACGAAATATAATTTTTGTCTTTAAATTCCACATAAAAACAACCACAACCATTTCGCTTAGTTCACCTAGAGAATAAAACAATCTTAAATTCAAAATTTTAAATTTAAAATTAGGATTCTACGATACCACCTGCAATACATTCTTTTTATAGAATCAATTAATTATAGTCATCTAGTAGCATAAAAAGGAATAAAATACCATGTATTGATTTAAAATATACTGACAAAAAAAAATAATAGTCTGACCTCACGTCCAATTCTTTCCCGTCAAAACCATTGTACATCTGATGGCTACTCGCCAAAACGACTATGACACAAATTTTTCTTACGACTAAATAATTTCCGCCAAACTGACTAGTGTCAATTGATATACAGCTGATTGTTTTACGGCCAATTGACGTGAAACTATGCATCATTCGAATGTTTGAATATCTATAGTTACAGTCTAGGCAAACCCATCTGTAATACATACATAACATCAAAAATAAAAAACATTTATGAGGTGTTGTTGTGATGCAAGAATATTCATTTTAGTTAATACATCTGCACATCTGAGTGGGACATATACTAACTTTAACCGCCATTTTGTCACTCTATTATCTCTACTCTGCCGTTGGATTTTACCTTGCCTTTATAATTAATTGTATTACTTCTACTAGAACCTAAGTGCCCTGTTCCAATCCGAAACCGTGCAGATGTGTCAAATTTTATTTGACCTCATCTTCCCATTTTGTTTAATTGGGTTTAAAACCCCAAAATGGAAGGGGTTTTTCTATTTTGGACTCAATATTAACTCCTGCTCTTTTTCTAACCTTATTGTAAAAACTTAATAATATAGTTCATCTTTGTTATTGCCTATAATAGTACATAAGATGGAAGAGGCATTAGAAATGCTCATTTTAACAAATTTAGATGCTATTAAATATTTAATATTAAAAACTTCGAAAGTTAATTAAATCGGAACAATTTGCTGCACTTATGTATTCACAATTGAAGAGTGAAATGGATAATTCAGCTAAATGCCAAAAATTTAGTTTTAAACTACTTAAAAAAAAATCCTTTTGTAAGACTCAATATAAACGGTATTATAGTTTTATTTTTTTTATCTATTTTTCTGCGGTTTTAGAATATCCTGACAAAAAAATAGACATCCAACTTATAATTATCTTAAAAATAATTTTTTAAATTTCCTACACCCTACAGGCTAAGTGTCCATAAGGTAATATTTAAAAAAAAGGCTATGTGTCATAAGACTGAAACTGAAAAAGATATATACTGCCCTACTCCAAAAAAGGTTTTTAAGTCATTTAATTATTAAAAAATAATAGTTGTCATACGTTTTTGTTAACAAATCTTAGACCTAATTAAATTAATACATTTTTTCTATTAATATAGATTCAGTAACTTAAAAATAGATATTTCTAATAAAAAAAAACTAGAAGCTAAAAAAATAATGTATTTTTACTGACATAAATTTATATAAAAATCTCTGTACTTTTCGTCTTAAAATAGAATCATTGAATTCAATTGTTGCTTTTCGTCAGCTTTTATATCTGCTGGTTTATTATCTATTACTAACTCGACTTTATTCAAATCTTTGCTTTTTTGAAAACATTTTTCAACTGCCAATATTCTGTTTCACTAAATGTTTTCTTTATCTGCACTCTACCATTAGCGCTGTATTTTATCATATAGACTTTGGATACATTTAAACGATCACAAACTGACTGAAATTGAAAGAATTTGTTTTTCATCATTTCAAGAACTTCAAATTTTCTATTATGGGTATTTCATTGGGAACAAAAGCTTTACATTTTTCCTCTTTTCAATAAGCGTGAAATGGTAAGAAACTATGCGCGGACCCAAGAAATATATGTTCTATCACAAATAAACCATGTACATAAAGAAAACAATCATAACTCGATTTTTATTCTGTCCGGAGCAGTTATCGCTCCAAACCACTAGATTATCTTTAAAATACTTGAAATAGGCATAAAATTATTTTATTGCTTTTCCTTTGGGCAATACCTTCATGCCACATACACATTATTGCTTTGTCTGTGTCACACATGTAAACACAGAAGTTGTAGCATGAGAGCTGTCGTTTATAAAACATGTCTGACTAATGTCGGTACAAATAATACTTGTTGTAAGTTGATACATATTGTACTTTTATTGCTACCAGGGAGTTGCGAGCTGGCAGCGTTTTGCTTCAATAATCTATGGTGAACTTCCAAAACCAACTTGGAGGCCATTCATTCAGAGGACTTTTTTAAGGCTTTTATTTTGCACTCCAACTCATCACAAACTCGACAAGTATCCGAACGTGGGGTCTAAATGACAGTTTTGGAAATTCCTGTTTAAATACTTTTGTGTATAGCTTATAAGTCACCAAAGTATTTGTATTTTCAGTTTTATAAAACTTGTAAAGCCTATGAACGTTAAGATCCGAACTAATGTATTCCCTACTTGATTAAGCAGACGAATAATGACTTTCGTAACGTGGAATCTTGTGGATATGATCAACTATCTGCAAGCGGTGCTCATTAGTAAACTTTTTTGGTTTTTCAAAATTCTCCCTTCTTTTCCACGTATTTTTCTTTCGTTAGATTATAATTTCACTTTGACTCTTTGTTTGAGGAATGACTGCCCGCATACCTGAACATTTTCCCTTTTTCCATTAGGCACATGGTATACTACAGAAACTTGCCGTCTTCTTCGATTTGGTTCTTCATACGACTCGTGCCTATGCCGTTGGACACCTATTACCTCTATTAGTCCTATCAGATACGTTATTCTTTTCATCACAGGAACACAACTTAGTGAATAGATTCAATTTAAGCCCTTCAGATAATTCTTTGCATTTGTATCTACACTTACATACTACCTAAGAAAATATATACCATATATTAAAAAAACACGTAAACATAAAATCTATAAGCATTAACTTACCGCTGATGCAAGAGGACGTTTTTTTGATTTATATTAATAATCCACTTTTATATGCTTTTCCACCGACTCGCAACTTTTTTTGTTCTCTCATAAAAGGCCCTGTATTTTTTTTCGCTTATTAACATAATTTTTTGTTTGGATTTTTCATGTTTCCCGTCAAAAGTACAGACCGCGTGATAAACACTGTTAAAATCTGATTACTTGTTCCGACTTGTAACGTAAACAGACTGACGCAATACATGTAGATGATACATTTCCTGAGCATCTTTATTTTTGTAGGCTGAGGTAACTAAATAATGGGTTTGGCACAGAGCTCCTTTTAGGTTGCCATTTAGACTATTTTTAAGTAAAAATTCTAAAAATTAAAAAGTAGCACATTGCCGACTTATCAATTCCACTCTTCAATAAAGGACATAATAAAGTCAGTTCTAGAACATAAATGATCTGCGCATGCTCAGATATCAAAAAAAGAGCGGCGCTAATAGTGGCTGAACTTAAGTAAACTGGCAATATATCTCTAAAGACTCCAGTCTTCACGATACAATTTATTTAGCCACCTATTATGAGGCTTGCTTCCTTTTTTTAGCATTTA